TAACCTTGAATTTACCTTGTAATCCTTAAGTCATTCTATGGCCTAGGATAACACGATAATTTCTTATTCTAGAATATTAAAGATTCCCATTGTGAAAATGAGAACAACACATATAAGCGAACAATATTGTTTTCAATTAGATCGTCATCAGGCTTTACTCTATACATGAATATTTATACGAAAATTTTAAACCAATCAAGGCAATATGGGTCAATAATCACAATGAAATAGAATAAGTCACTACACAAGTTTATAGTAGGAAGACTGGTGAACTGATAATAGTAAGAATAATAAAATACAATAACAAAACTCTTCTCAATAGTTAAACGTTGGGAATAGAAGGTCAAACAAACATGGGTAAATAGACTAGGAATAGTAATCACAAAACATTAAAATCATTACGTAATAAGATGTGTGTAAATAATTAGATAGTAAAGAATACGAAGAGGCGGAAAATTACAAACAAATACTAGATGTGGAAATAAGGTTAACGATAGCACAAATAGAATAAAATAAATAATGATAATAATAAAATTAAAAAAAAATTAATAAATAAAAACTTGTTAGTTAAGTTATAACCGGCCATGGAAGGGATAGGGGGGTCACGTATTTCTTCTGTACACATAAATTGGGGTTATATGTACGAATTCCAATGGCTTCAGCTATATGTAGGAGACGGGAACGGACTCCGTCGGGAAAAGATGGAGGTATACGATAGATAACTCGAAATGATTTCGATTTATCTACAGCATGACCGCTATTCTTTCTCTCCCCTTGGTTATTTGCAAAAGGACTTTTATTTGTTTGACCTTTATTATTTTTCATATAAACATGTCTATTACACATTAATACAAATACCTATTTATAAAGAAATCCTTCACGTTGATTGGATGACTTATTCAGTATACAGTAAACCGAAGAACCATGTACCTATTTATATTCGATAATTTTGTTGTTTGATTATATTTTCCTTGAAAAAGCTTGGACCAGATTGCCAGACGAAACGTTGGATTTACTTAAAATTCATTCGCTGAGATTTTACAAATATATTCCTCTTTTGAATGCCACTTTTGAAATGTTGTCACAATTAATGTTGTAGAATATTCTTTCACATTAGGTATATATTTACAATATCCAGTTAGCAATTTAAACCCATTATGTAATTATGATTTTTAAATATCGCAGGTTGTAAGCAGTTGACTAAAACCTAGGAAATAAAATGAATTCATGCTATTCTGCTAGAATCTTTGTTCTTGCTCTTTTCAAAATGATAAAGGGATCTGTGTGTATGACACTTCAGAAATGTTAGAGCATACATAAATAATGATTGACAGCAGAAGTGTTGTATATATGGGCTAGTCAGAACAGCCTCAACGGAAAAGATAATATTCAACTAGGAACTATTTGGCAAATGTTTGTTAACAAGCTGTTTCACATGCATCGTTATTGTGATTGGAATTCATATGGGTTATTTTAAGACTACAATTATGTATTTGAGGATTCTCATTTTGCATGCACATCAATGATTCAAAAATAATTTCAACCTTTAAATTGCACTTTTATTTCCCCTCACAGAAAAACAAATTAAGATCGAATATCAACTATTCACAATTGATTGATCACTGGGTGGCGATCAATTTCATGTGTGTCTAGTCCTTGTTAGTGCAGATCGAATGCTATCGATCATGGTGTAATGTGGCCACCAGTGTAGGTGACTCGACACTGCGGGTACTATGTATTGAGATTAGATGGTGGTTGGAGGTAGTCAACAGGAAACCCTGGACCCGGGTTTCGTGCTATTTGGCACTCGTCAGCAAGGTGTACCTGTAATCTTGAGGGGACTGGTGCTCCCTGACGGATTAGACCTTGTGTCACCAAGCTTCACAGTTAGAGACGTTACCACTGAGCCATCCGAGCCGCGACCGACCTCCTGTAGGAATGAGATGTAATCACGGTTGATTGATCATTGGGTGGTGATCAATTTCATGAGTGTCTAGTCCTCGTTAGTGCAGATCGAAAGCTATTGTGGCTCGGATAGCTCAGTGGTGACGTCTCTGACTGTGAAGCTTGGTGACACAAGGTCTAATCCGTCAGGGAGCACCAGTTCCCTCAAGATTACAGGTACACCTTGCTGACGAGTGCCAAGTAGCACGAAACCCGGGTCCAGAGTTTCCTGTTGACTACCTCCAACCACCATCTAATCTCAATATCAACTATTACTAACTCAAGTTTACACATACACACACAAACAACTCATTCAGCCGTTTATTTTGACACTATAAACTTTTCACATGATTTACATATAACTGACTCATGTTATCCTGTTTACTAAAGTCATCATTTGGATATGACTGGATAAGCACAGTAAAGATTTGATCTGATTGTTAAACATTATATAATTCTTTGATGATTTTGGTTATTATCCTGAAGAAGTCCAGACAAGTTTACTGGACGAAACGCTGGAATGATTTTAAATTTCAATCGCTGAGATTATCTCAAATAGAATTTTCACATATAATATCTATAGTGATTGTTTTAATTTTCTACCACACATCTATCTCATCATTTTATTTATAAGTAATATTAATATTGATACTTCTATATTCATCAGTATATTACAATTGTGATTGTTAACTTCACTCATATTTATTGGAAAATTTGTCAATACTATTTGACCTTAAATCAGTTACCATAGTTTTCGATATTTGGAATGTAAATGATTATCATTATTACAATAAAGAGTATTTCCATGGGTAACGTCAAGTGACCTCAAGTACATTGTCATTAAGTCTTGTTGAACGATGGTGAATAATATATCTGAAGTTGACTAACATACGCTAGATAATAATTTACAAATAGCAATAATGATAATGGTAATAATGATGGTATTATAGTTCATACATTAGAAGGACGTTTTCATGGTTCATGAACTATCAATTTCGTATACTATACTCCGCTTACTATAGTAATCGTGCTTGTAAACGTAAATATCATTTTTTTTTAAAGTCTTATGATTAATTTGTTGGTAAACCAATGGTTTTGACGAAACATAAGCACTTTGAAATGAAGTACAGTTAATTTTCAATGTATACCATTGATCTCTTTAAGATTTAGAAATCTAATTGACGAAAGGATGAACAGTATAAGTCAGACTGAAGTATGTTTAGTCCTACTTATTTCTGTATACATTTCCATTACTTGTCAAAACTTGTCAGAATAGGGTTGTAACGATTGCTGAGTTGTATTGAAAGCATGAACCGATGACGGTTAGACAATCACTGAAAACGTGGAAGTACTGAACATCTTTTTCGTCACAGTATGGGACTACTCAGCAGTGCACATCCATGACCCCACAGGTTATAATCGAGCCCAGAGCATTTGGTCTTTCTCCCAAACACTTAATCTCCAGATCAGTGAACCGACATTTAATGGGGTTATTGTCTAAATTCAATCAATCCACAATATTGCCTGGTTTATTGGTAATAAAACCAAGTTATTTCGTTTTAATTATGAAATGTTCAAATACTAGAGATTTATTAGTTTATGTTTAAGGTATGAAAGAGAATAATGAAGTCATTTTAAAAGTTATTTCTGACTGGATCAATCGAAAAACACAAAACTCCACTACTTATAACTAGAACGTTCACTCAATTACGTCAAGAAAAACTGCATTTCATTAGGTAGAGAGTACTGATTTCATATAGGATTAAGAAGCTTTCATATCAAAGTCAGAATCAGATAATTCACAACACAATACTTGATTTTCAACTTATTTCACGTTGTTTAAATATCTAGAGAATATTACGATTATTATTGGAAGCAAGTAACTTAATAGGATGGAAACTGTCGAAAGTAAACATCTCGAGTGACTTCAAAAGAAAACATTATCCAGACAAGAAATTAGAACTCACTTTAACATATTTAGTGAACAGCTTAATCTTCGACACAATTTACGGTTAAACAGATGAAAATATTACTCATGAATAACCTGAAAAGTTCCTTATAGTTAAACATTAAATGAAACCTACAAGCGATCATACATATAGTCAAGTTCAGAGCTGAAAAGTATCAATTTATAATTGCTTATTGTATTATGTGATTGATATTTAAACTTATTTTACATATAAATATGGATTTTAGTTGCTTCTTAATAATACCTACAATTTAATTCTTTTGAGATGGTGAAGATTTGTTGATCAGGTGGATGATTTTGATGGACATTTATTCTCTGGATGGTTTGGTCGTGGAGCTCGACATCGAGGTCTATAGGACAAGCTGTGAGCCATATGTGGAGAACTTCGAACACTTCACTTCTACCGGACGTTCGTGCTGATGACGTTCAGAAGAACGATGAAAATTCAACGGTCAAACCATCCAGCTCAGAGAACAAACCTTCGCTAGTTTAATTCTTTTTCAGTTAGATATTCTTAAATATAATGATAAAATGATAGTAAACTGTACGAATAGGATAAACTGATAATTGATTTATTTGTACAACGTAGAGAATATAAAACTGATGGCGAATGAAGATTTATTTCATCCTCCTCCGTAGTAGTAGCAGTAGTAGTAGTACACGACCTAAACCAATGTAATTAAACTACATTCAATTATAAATCAATTGTACTCACATTTGATCATTGGTCAATGAATATCACTCAAACACAACTGATATAAAGGAAATACCAAAAAACATCAGTATTTCATAGAATTACCAAAAATGTATGATGGACAAACGAAGTTCACATTAAGTTAATACAAAGAGTATCATTCTAAATAAATGTCACACTAAAATATAATGAATATTATACGGGACAATTTATCACACTGAATTACAAATGGAAGTAATACTGAACACAAATGATGCTGAGTAAAAATGTGTTTCTGCCTTTTTTTATTAGCATACTACTTATATCTGTCGACATGAGTAGCACATACCACTATATACATACATATTTACACAAAAAATATCCGTTTCAGTGCCAAGAAAAAAAACTACTCACCTTCATTTTATATTTACAAACTGGATCAAATTCTCCACCCAGTATAATCATTGATGAATGTTTTATTTCATAGATAATATAAATCCATAATGTAACAAATAGCAATAGTGCAACTAAACGATATTCCAATGACATAATTATGTATTCACAATAGTAATGAGTGAATAAATGTTAGCAACTTTCACGTAGAGTAATAATAAATTCCAATTTTTTTGTTTTGCAAGTTACGGTCAATTTTATTGTAAAAATATACGGGACATATGGAATAATTGGTTGAGTAACAATTTAATTAAAATGAAATGAACTATTGATCTCAACAGGTTAGTTGATTATTCATCTATCTGTCAGAAAATGCATTTTCTTCTTATGGTTAATACAAAATGAATATAAGAAAAATCACCCAATCAGAAAGCAGTTTCAATATTGTCCAATCATAATAAAAGATTGTTTCTATAACATATAACAACGTCTTAGCAACCAATCAAAATAATGCATTTTGTGACAGTATTTGGCAGATAATTTGATGCTCCTATTGTTTGTGTTTTGTTATTTTTTATTGGCTTTAAAGTAATTAATTGTTATATATTTCTTGATGGTAAATTATTTTTGTCGTATTATCAGTAAGATAAATGATTTATGTGTAATATACATACAATTGGGGCAAGATATTGGGATACATATTTTTGGGTATACATTAATAAGAGCACCAATAAAGATGGGGAACAACAAAGGGTAGTGAAATGTAGACTGGGTTTGTGAAATTGTTACAAAACAGCCAACGAAATATAATCGCATTCCAGATTCAGTGAAGGTAGATGAGTATAAAGCAATAAGTAGAATAAAAATATAATCTAGAAGTATCACTAGCGGAAGCAGTATATCAAATAGTGGCTGAAGCATCTACTGGTTTATTGTATGCAGTGCTATCTCAACTTCCAGCTGTTATTGGAATGAAACAGAGAATTCGACGTGTATGATATAGTCATCAGTCACACTTATCAAATTCAAGTTTGTTGAATCCGATAAACTTGTCATGTAAATGTAAAACAACTATGAGGGAAGAGAATTTCCTGCTTCATGACAGTGAGCCTGATAAAAATATAGCTTCGATATTTTCTACAACTCAGAATATGGGACTGTTGAAGAAATGTCTTTATTTGTATGATGAGGGGACATTCAAACCATCACCAACTTTGTTTACTTTACTCTTTGCAATTCATGTTATGAACTTTGATATTATTTTTCCCTTTATATATGTCGTAATTCATGATTAAAAGTAGGAATTCATATGTGTACACATTCAATAAGTTTGAAAAACCGCACTAAGCTTTATATCCATCAACTACCGTTCTTAACTACCAACATCCAGCTTTATCATGATTTCAAAAAGTATTTCCGAATGCAGTACAGCAAGGTTGCCTATTCATTCTGAATTAATAGATATGGCGGAGACTTCAGCAACGTTATATGGCCGACGAAAATTTTTCTGTGTATTCATTATCTGACAGTGTCATACTGCTTAGGGTCGCATTTGGTAGTTTAATGGAGTCTCTATCCTACTGAAAAAAATGATGAGATCAGAGAGTTAATCAACTTTTTCGAAGGCACTTGGAGCTGAAACCGGCACGACATGCCGCAGTTACAAGAATTTCTGGATTACAAGGAGGACCGTCAATAATTCAGTTGTGGAAAACCTTCATAAAACGAAAAACTAAACGGGTGACATAGCCAACTTCTGATTGTCCCTCATCGAAGTATACGGGGATTCACTGATGCTCTGGAAAAAGGATGAAATTTACATAACGTTCTCCTATCCACACTGTCAAATGCTTTCTCATGGTCAAGGAATTTGATGTATAGTGACGAGTTCTATTCGATTGATTGCTCAACAATTATCCGTAGTGTTGCGATTCGGTTTGTGCACGAACGATGCTTACACAATGCAACCTGTTGATCTCGAAATTTTGGCGTCTACTGCGTCTTTCATCCGGTTCAGCAACACTCTGTTGAAAACGTTTCCTGGTGTCGATAGTAGTGTGACGCCTGTGTAGTTCTCAGACCTCCTTTCTTTGATATATTGATGAGTATCCTTCTTTCCAATCTATCGGTACTTGTTCTTCCTCTCGAGTTTGCCTGAATAGAACGTGGAGCATGTTTGCACTTGCTTCTATGTGTGACTTCAGTGCTTTACCTGGTATATTGTTAGGTCCTGCTGCTTTCCCGTTCTTGATTTGTCTGACCGTCATACTGATTTTTTCAATGATTGTTTGAGTGACCATCTATAGGAATGTCTGTAGGTGCTACTTCGATGTCCGGTGGATTCAATGGAGCTGGTTTATTCAACAGTTCCCCGAAGTATTCCACCCATCTGTTCGGTTGTTTAATATTTCCTTCTCTTGCAGTTTTTTCCGCATATTTCTGTTTGTCGGCTCTAATACTTCTCTTTACTTTCTTGTTTGCTTCTGTGTATTCAGCTTGTGCCTTGACTTTCTCTGTTTTTGTTCGACTGTCGTTAATCGCTATCTTCTTGTTCTTTCTTTCTTGAATCATGTTCAGGGTTTCCATAGAGATTTATTCCTTATGATGGTGCTTATTGCAGTCCAGAACTTTCTGACACGTTAAAGTTAGTGCTTCTCTGACCACTTTCCAATTGTTCTACGTATTAGTTTTTTCTTCTTTCAGCACATCCTGTAAGGCTTGGAACCTGTTGTTAAGAGATATCTTGAATTTGTTGAGTTTGAAAGTATCTCGAAGGAAGGCTGTATTGAAGCTTTGTAATGCTGTTTCTCCATATGTCCAGAGATTTGCTTGTACATAAAAAATCCCTTTGAGAATCATTATTTTAATTTATTATATTGGGTCACTTGATATATTAGTAAAAATATATTTGTTGAACAAATAAACCACAGTTTTAGGATGATAACTTCCCAACGAGAAGGGATAGTGTCCGATTATTTTATGATATATAGCTAGCAATGAAATCCAATACTCGAGTTTCGCTCTATTTAGGACGCCTAAAGTGGATATACATGTACATCCATCTTAGATTTTATGTTCACTTCGAGATTTGAACCCGGATCATTTGTAGTAATGAAAATCCATTCGTCTTTATTTATCTTATTGTAAATCTTAAGTTTCGGCATAATTTCACGCAGCTTATAATAAAAATTTAAAGTTAACTAACACTACTTGAATAATGTTTTCTCAACAACCAGTTCATTTCACACCGTCAACTTAATCTCATTCTTTATTTTTCAGAGTATGAAGGAATTTTTTTCTACGTAAAGTATACGACTAGACAGCGCTGCCCAAATCAATATAAGAAATTCCTAACATCTAGTAGAAATATGAAATAACAACGAAAACAAATTGATTTCAGTTGTGTGCTGTTTTGATTCAAAAATTCTATGAAAAACGATTTTGTGTTACTTTTTACACAATAAGACAAATAATAATCTTAACATTCCAAAAGTCAATATATTATTCACTGGCCAACTGTATACTTTAATAATGGAACGAGTAAATATGTCAATGAAGAAGAGTACGACTAAAAGAGACTCATATTAACAAGAACTAGGGATATGGAAGAGGACTAATAAAAAGGGTGCATATCAGTGATAACGAGGTGTAAAAGAGGAAATGGAATGTTTAAGGATATGAAATTTATTCAGTTTGCCCTTTGTCCACTTGCATCTACGAACAATAAAATAATCTCAGAGTATTTCAAGCATCCAATGAACATTCTACTTTCTATAAATACCATAACTTTTCTATTTCGCTAACAGTTTACTATTCATATTATAACATGCATCCAGTTCGGGGAATGAGAAGGGAATCTTTTTGATCTGCCTAACCCTTTAGACCACTGAGCCGGCTGCCGACAGTGGTTTTAAGATGGATTTCCTGCAGTTCCAGTGAGAAGCCGTGGTCAATGGAGTTCAACGGTGTCTGTTGTGAGACACTCACTGAAGGTAACGGTGGACTGGTTGGAGTTTGACATTAACAACGCCAGATGCTGGCTCAGTGATCAAGAGGTTAAGCGTTTGCGCGCAAGACTGAAGGTGCTGAGTTCGAGTCATGCGTGAGGGATCGTGCATGCACACTTCTGACGAGTCCCACACTAGGATGGAATGGCCGTTCAGAGCTCCCAGATTTTTAATGGTGGTCTAACATCCATCCATTCATGATATCAATCCAAGTTCAACAATCTCCGCAACTCTATACTGATAATTCCCAAATGTCTTTGTCCATAGGATATTTTGAATGTATTACGATGACAATAATTGATTGTTATAACATGACATTTGACCGGTTAATCATTTGTTATTTGTTCTGTTTATGTATTTTATTCGATAATAAATTAGAAATTTCTTCATTTCTATAATTGCAAAATCAACTTTAGCAGAAGGGATTAAAACGTGCATCAGAATCTATTTTGAACATGATTTTAAGAAAATTCATTTCCAACTTAGTCTTTTTTGTTAGAAGATGTAATCTATGTGGTCAAAAAGGTTGAATGTCGAAAAATATTTCTTTTTTATCATTAGGTGATAATCGAACAACATCTCTACGTGATTGAAGTTAGAAAAGATTATTGACCATTGAATACCAGGCCAATGACTTTGGTGTTGATGATCCTGAATCCGATATGATGAGTAATCAGATAGGTAGAGTTTTCTTTGAACCGAGTGACTGAAGTTTTGTTCTAAAGTGTGTGAAATAGTGCTGAAATTTAATGGTGAATATATCTTCGTGAAGTGAACGTTGAATCTCGGATGCAGGTACATCCACTCGAGTCTTCTCAAATAGAATGAAACACGAGTATTGGATTCTACTGCTAACCATATGCTATCTATACTACATAAACTTGTGTCGTAATCTTTATCTAGGTAATCTCTACAAAATGTGCATATAATCAACTAAAACTGATCGAATTTCAGTGGAAATACCAATAAAAATTAACGCCATTGAAGCCTCACCTCCCTGACGGATTCGACGCATTCGATCTTCACTAAGAAGGACTTGACACACCTGACATTGATCACCACGCAGTGATCAATCAATTGTGCTTCATGGTCATTTGATCTGTGCTCTACGATAATACGTTGTATAGTCTTCTGAAATTTATACACTGG